TTCACATAAATTGTTTATTTAGTTACGTACGAGATCATCAARTTCATAGCTCTGTGTTTAAGTGTTTTTTCTAATTGTTCTAATTGAATTCTCTTCCCGTTTACTAAACTTCCGTTTATCCAAATTAACACTTCAATACAAACGACATCCCAAAATTTWAAAAAGCAACAATTAATCTAAATAAATAAAATAGGATTCAGATGCATCAACTGATTTTTATAGCCTTGTTCGCACAATCACATTGGCTATTCAACAAAGCAGATATCTTTTGGGCCAATACGGCGAATTATCCCTCAGCGTCTATAGCATTCACGGAAATTACGCAAAGAGAAAAGTCGAATTATATCGACAAGCTATCTGAATTAAAACGACACTTTGATGTCAGGTCTGTCATTCGTTTTAAAGGCGTTTCGTTTCGTTTACTTAATGCATTACGCGATTTCTAACACATCATAGCATACGCACTTGAACCTCACAATTCGATCCTTGTAAATTTAATCTGTCGAGCAAAGACAGGAAGAGGGATTAGCAGTCGATTGATTTTTTACTTCTTAAACGTTTGAACCAAGACTAAAGCACAAATCAAGACAGTTTTGAGAATGCAATGCTGTTTGTAAGGTAAGAGAGGGCTTTAGTTTAGTTTTTGGGTTTTATTTTTATACTTTTTTACTTTTTTGTCTCGTAATACAAAAGCCACTATTATAGTAACTGTATTTTCTTATCATACTTATTCTAAGTYATAGAGAAGGTGTATAGATGTTATTTCAGCCCTAGAAACCAAAACCTTGAGACATACTAGATATAAATGCATCGAAGAAAGTGTTATAGGATAAAGCGGATGCTGGGGTGTTTTTCGTTYCAGGTTCCATGGAAACCCGCTCCCTTTTCTGAAAGCGATTATTCTTTTTATACGTTCAGAAGGAAAAAAATGGATTAAATTATGATTAGCCCTTAAAATGAAAAAAAAAAAGAGAAAGAAAGAATTTTTTCCAGGATATAGCCTAAAAAATAACATGTTGCAAAAAGCTTGGAATATGATAAACGAGAATGTTTATATAAGCATATTACGACTGATCGACGCCAAAAGAAAAACATTTACTCCTATATTTAAAAACTACTATTTGTGATCGATTTTGACTCTTCTTGAAGAAACCAATAAATTCTAGCTTGTTCGATTTTTGTGAGTAAACATCGTTGTCTTTATTGCTTATTTTTAAAACAAGAAGGAATAATGTTTTGTCCAACTTTGTTTGCAGAAGAGTCTTTATACAGATTCTTTTCGACTTGCAATTTGAACAAATGATTCATTTTTAAGTTAAACATTTTCATATAATATTACACCGTCCATCAATTTTTGCCTTATTCTGTTTTTGGTTCTTTTTTATAAATAATACTTCGCTACTATTGAGAAATATTTGATGAGAGGAAATGGCCTGAGTCAATTTAAAACGGTCTTACATCGGCTCCTTTGATATTTCATTTTCTTGGCTTTTACTTATTAGCAAAATTTAAATTGAAACTATAAAAAAATCCTTTCGTGTTTGTTTGGATTTGGATTTGTTTATATTTACTCCACAAAGGTTTAAACTTTTTAATCTAAATTTCCTTAATGAAATGATTCAGTTTTTGGAGCTGGAATATTAGAAGATATCATATACATCTTCTGAGACACTTTTTATACACAAATTAAGGAAAAAAGACCTTACAATTTAACCGGATTCCTTTAAGTCAATATTGACAAACTGTTTTCAGTGGTCACCGGAAAGTGTTTTTTCCTGAATYCAATGAAATTTGTTTAACTCTGAAATGTTCAAGTACACTGGAAATATTTAATTGAAAAAGGTAAATTTGAGGGTAAAATATATACCAGGAAAATTTAAACGAAGTTACAACTCAAATGTTTTGTCTTGAAATTTTCTGTATTTTGAAGGAGATATTTTTCAGCTTTTAAAATTGGGAAACGATACAAAGTTCTTAGCGAGAGAGAAACCAATCCAAATAATATTATCCAATTTTTTTGACGGTTCTTTGTTGAAAATTAGATAGCCGATTAGTTGATGTTGTAATGAATTATTGTCACCTTTATAGAAG